TACAGCCAACTGCACGCCCAACATGGGCGTGCACTGCACTGTCGGGCGCCCAAGTTGGGCTTTTGAATTTTTAGCCCAGTTTTTTCGATCGAAAAGACGGAATTTTTACCTCGCTGTGTTCGCTATCCCGATCTTCATTCGATAAATTCATTTATGTTCGTATATCACACCAATAAGAATGATTTGTGAAGAAATTGTCTTGAGAGCAATTTTTTTTAGAGAGAGAGAGAGAGAGAGTTTTTTTGAACGGTAAATAGCCTTTTTCAAACGGTAAAAAGCAAATCCCTTTTTGAATGATTGACTTAAATGCCAACCACAAATCACCGTCATCTTATCAGTGGGTCACCCTAATTACTAATACCACAAGATAACGGTGCCCACATTGCATCCCATATAAATGCATTGCAAATAATATGTATGTATATACACTATCAAATTTTCTCCATTTTTTTCATGTGTTTTTTTTAGTTAATTAAATTAAAAATAAAAATGAAATTAAAAACTTATGGAGGGGCGGCGGCTGCCCCCCTTGGGTGGTTTTAGTTACGCTGTTGGTGTGCATCAACCTTGAACACCACTTAAAAAGAAACGGAGGGAATACAATATAGAAGATTCATTGGCTTGAAAGGCACGCTACCCAAAGATACGACAAGAAGATACGAATCTCTTGATACTGATCTCATAACAAAAGAATACTCCATAAAATAAGAATTTCGAATATGTAGAATCTCGTTATTTATGAAAAATATATCTCATAAACTAAGAAAAAAGGGAACCTACCAACGGTGGACTTTGAAAATCCTAATTAGCTTATATGTAGGTCCGGTGGAAAAGTGTTTTAAGGCATCGTGAAAAATATATACAAAAGATACACATTTTGTTTCAATAATTATCTCTTAAAAAATCCCTAATTCCGGTGAGAAGCTCTTCTACGAGGGTTTTCTCCGACGAACAAATGAGATAGCCTTAAAGGAAACTTGACTGCATACTAAGTCACGCGATCAAGGATTGTGAATCCGTTTTCTTGAAATAACGCAGTTATAATTTTATGATTATTTCTTCTATTTGTTACGATTAGTTGATGTGGCCGATTTGACAAACTATTGGGCTCGTATGAATATTTGGGCTTAAGTCTATTGATGGACCATGATCGAATAATACTATGTTTAATGGGTCCATAATTAGGTTAAGTCTTAAGAATATGTATGGCTTATAAATACACCACATTCTCCCCCATAAAAAGGTACATTTTATTTACACACAATACACACTCCTACATACACTAAATCACACGATCAGATCACAGATCTCACATCGTCTTCTGTATTTCGTTTTCCTTATCATTTTACGCTTTCTCGAACTATTTCCTCTGAGATCTTCTTCTCTATTTCGTTTTCCTTATCATTTTACGTTTTACGTTTTCTCGAACAATTTCCCCAATTAAATTGAGCGTCAGAAGGTCTCCCCAAGATTTCAAGTAAACGGAGTAATTTTCCGGCAATCGTGATCGGAGAAGGTGTTTGAGAAGAGGCAATATAATGTTGATGGTGGTTAAATTAACCTTCATCATTAGTACATGAACCTGATCAATTTATGTGCTCTCATTGGTAGAAAATTTTCTTATTACTACGGATTTGTGTTTCTACGGTGAAAAACCGTAATAAAATGTACTTTTTACTACGGAACAATTTTGAAGTCGTAGTAAATACTAGAATTTACCGTAGCAAAAAAATATTTGGTACAACCATTTACCGTAGAAAAACTTTTGTCACGACCTTATATATATGCTACGGGGTAAATCCACAGCAAATGTGTAGCAAAATCCTTTTTACTACGAATTTGATACATTTTGCTACGGTTAATGATCGTAGTAAAAAGCTAATTTTCTACTAGTGTCTACCAGTTATTATTGGAGTTAACTAGACATAGTTATTTTAATAACTAGACATGAAGTAGAAGAACCTTAGAATCGTTTTCACCGTATAAATGTGTTAATTGAAATGCGATAATGTAGACATACAACATACATTTTACATTTAGTTCACACTTTAACTCGATAATTATTCTACCTAATTTTTCACTTATAAAATATTTGGCTGCTTGCCCCAATTAGTGCTACACAGGCGTCTATAAGTTGGCCAAATTTCTTTATTTGTGTTTGACTTCTTGACCATCAGTAAATTAATAAATAGGGAAACAATTAGTAGACGCATCTTATTTTTTGTTTCGGTTTCGGTTTCGGTTTCGTGTTTCGGTTTCGGTTAAATGAATGAGCATTGCCCAACCTAATTAAATCATCCGCATTGAATGTCAACGAAAGAATATTTCCCAAACTCACTATAAGTCTACTTGAAACCTGGTTTTAACCATTTTACAGTTCGTGGCTGGGTTGACTCAAAATATCAAAATTGTAGCTTTTCGAATTGACTTTCTAATCTAATTTAAATTAGCTAAATTGGTGATTATTCAGTGATTGAATTTTAATTACAAAGTTATGCATAAGTTTGAATTTACTTTACCTGTAGAATTGAAAGACTTAATACTTCAAGTTGTTTCTAATTTTATATAATAATTGAAATCAGATTTTTTATCTATTTTAATATTGTAACACTCTGCATCATGGCCCTCGAGGCAATTAAATAATTTATGTGGGAATCAAAATGAATCAGGCTACTTCAAAGTCAAAATTAAGAGTGGTTATGGAAGACGAAAACAATAAATTTGATTTAAAAATGCAGAAAATCTATTCATATATTTCACGACAAATGTAAGTCAACTTTACAATCTTCCTAATCATTACTTATTTTCACTTTGGTCCTCAAACATGTATGGGATACCAATTGATGCCCTTGTAATTATCAAAAATTGTAATTTAGTCACCTTTCGCGGGAAATTGTTGAGTTGGCTAAGGTGGTGTTTGCACAAGCTTTAGAAAAGTGATTGAACTCTTTTTTTTTTTGAGTTATAATCACTTTTGAAGTGTTTGCAATACCAACTTTTGCTTTTATTTTTCTTAATATAAGTTGTTTTAAAAAAACACATATGTGTCACCTTGTCCTAAAATAAGTTATTGAAAATTGATTTTACATGGAATCTGCAAATACACTCAACTTTTAGGAATAAACATACGATTCCCAATTCATAAGCTTCACCGACAAAATTAGCAATATCTGACGAAAATCAAATCAAAATTGACATTTCCAATAATTAAGAGGCTATAAATATTAAATATAAAAACATCAAAGGACCAAAACTGAAAACATGCAAAAAGTACAAACTTGGCCAGTATATATACGAAAACGTGATATAAGGTCTACATGTTTCCATCTCAGATCCATAAACATTAAATACAACTATCTCTCTCTCTCTCTCTAAAACGGATTCCCTCAGCTAACAAGCAAAATCAAAGAACTCGTTCGCTACATCAATGGCGAAAAGGTCATTCATCATTAAACCTCAATAATCACATTATTTAACCATATATTAATTATTCATTAACTAGATCTTATAATTTTTTTTTTGGAAAATAAAGGAAACCGCAGTCAACCATATATTAATTAGATCTTATATTAACTTGCAGGCTAGAGGGTAAAGTGGCCATCATAACCGGCGGTGCCAGCGGCATCGGCGAGTCAACGGCGCGGCTCTTCGTCCACCACGGCGCGAAGGTCATCATCGGGGACGTGCAGGACGAGCTGGGCCGAACCGCCTGCACAAACATCGGCCCTCCGGAAGTAATATCATACGTCCACTGCGACGTCACCGTCGAGAGTGACGTCAGAGACGCCGTCGACGCCGCCGTTTCGAAACACGGCAAGCTGGACGTCATGTTCGCCAACGCCGGCACACCGGGGAAAAGCGACACGTCGATACTATCGACGGACTACGACGACCTGAAAAGCGTGTTCGGGGTCAACGTCTTCGGCGCCTTCCTCTGCGCCAAGCACGCCGCCAGGGTGATGGTTCCGGCGGCGGGGACGACAAGAGGGGCGGCCATCATCTTCACCTCCAGCATCGCGTCGGTCACCTCCGGCGACGTGCCGCACGCTTACGTGGCGTCGAAGCACGCGGTGGTTGGGCTGATGAAGAATCTCTGCGTGGAGATGGGGCAGAAGGGGGTCCGGGTCAACTGCATCTCGCCGTTTGGGGTGGCGACGCCGATGCTGATGGGGGCGCTGAAAGTACGGGAGAAGGCGGAGGCGGATGAGTTTGTACGTGGGATAGCTAACTTGAAAGGAGAAGATGTGACGGCGGATGACGTGGCGGAGGCGGCGGTGTACTTGGCCAGCGATGAATCAAAGTATGTGAGTGGGCAGAATCTTGTTATTGATGGAGGTTATAGCTTGACCAATATTGCTCTTCGCGAAAGCATCAAGAAAATGATGACTTCATGATTGGTTTTCTTGTAATTTTTTATTTTTTTTAATAATAATAATAATAATAAATTATTATTATTATTATTATTAATTCTTTTTTTTTTCGAGACCGCATGTAAAGATGAAAATTTTAAAATGTGGTACAAAGCTTTAATAACAAAAAATTGTTTCAAGGAACGCACAATCAGTTATATAGGTGTGCGGATACTCTTGTATAATAATTTGCAAATTATACGAAAGACTGTAAAACGCAACACTGGATTTATAACTAGAATCCTGTTCTAACAACGAAAGTAAGTTGCCTAAATATTTTCAGTATATATTATACACTTGAAAACATAAATATATACATGCTACAAATACAATAAATGAATAAAAGTTTGAAGGGTTAAAATGGTGAATGGGAAAGTTTGAAGGGTTAAAATGGTATTTCATTAAAGAATTAAGTTTAGTAGGACTGCAGAAGACCACTTGCGGATAGTCGGATACTACTACTACTACCTTCAATAATTTAATTAACAAAGAACCTCTAATTAATGCGTCTGATTTTAAATCAAGTTGACACTGCGCATGCAACTAATACGCAATCACAAAATTAATTATTGAAGCCCACTTAGTATACTAATTTTTATGATAGTCTACTATCAATTTTGTTAAGTACACAATAATATTATACATATAAAGAATGAGAGCTGAATTAAGTCGATCTTATCTTAAAATTTTATTGGAGAAAGAGTTTCTATTGAAAGTACATATTCTTGATCCGTTCCTTTCAATACATTGGTTGAGTGGGTCCTTTGATACCTAGCATGTGAGTAGGTTCCTTCGGGATCCCAAACACAACTACTTGGCAGCTGAGAAGAAAAAAATCGAAGTCGGACATAGCACTCCGATGATTAAGTCAGTACAGATCGAAGTGTATTTAGGTGATGGATCTCTGTATATGGATTGAAAAAAACTGTTTTCCCCTACTTATGCCCTTGTCGTCCGCACTTCATAACTTCCCTAAAATCGGGACAGGTGTGTATTCTTTGCCAGGTCTGTCGTCCCTCCACTCAACTTTCCTAGAGAGGTCGGGCTCATGATTCTCCACTAGTTAGCTAATCATATATTGATCGGACCAGATTGGGCCTATTTGGCCGCCTCAAGTAAATCCAGTGAATATTTGTGGCGGGTGTATGTTTATTTTCTGATTTCTCCTTCTCTTTCTTTTGTGGTGGTTTTCCCTTAGGCTGCACCTATTTGCAATCTCAAAATTTATAAGGGCAAGACCTTACTTCATGCATTCAAGACCAAAATATGATAAATTTACTAAGAGCAAGACTGAAAATTACAAATATAACCCCAATATTAATTTTGATATTATTAATTCAAAAAAGGCCTAATTGCTATTGCAAGACAAATATATATATATATATATATATATATATATATATATATATATATATATATATATATATATATATATATATATATATATATATATATATATATATATATATATATATATATATATATATATATATATATATATATATATATATATATATATATATATATATATATATATATATATATATATATGAAAAATGACCATTCTTCTTTACCAACAAAACTCAACCTCTTCTTCTTCACTATCATTCTACACATTTTTTTCCAAAAAAACTCTTTCATATTCTCCAAAAACCCTTAAATCTTACTAAAACTTGAAAATGAGGACATACAAAACATCAATATGGATGATTCTAAGGTCGAAGAACACAATGGGATAAGAAATGTTGTACTTTATTTAGCTTTGTGATCGATTTTTTTTTTTTCGTTTTTCCAAAATTTAGTGAAAATTTTGACACCAATGTGTCGAAATTTTACAAAAACATCGACAAGTACAGCTCGATATTTTTAAAACCACAACTCCTTCAACAATGGTGGTGGAATCTAACCCTAAAATCATCCACTATGTTCTAAATGGACTTGTATGTGGCGATTGTCGACTGCAAAGGCGACGGCGGCGATCGTGGTCGACTTCGCCTTGGTGGTGAAATGGTAGACACGCGAGACTCAAAATCTCGTGCTAAAGAGCGTGGAGGTTCGAGTCCTCTTCAAGGCATAATATTGAGAATGCTCATTGAATGAGCAATTCAATAAGAGAGCTCGGATCGAATCGGTATTGATATACTGATTCGATCCGAGCCTCTTGAATTGGAATAAGTTCGGCAGCGGATCACGAAATCTTGGTGATCTTCTCTATCTAATGAATGGGGAGTCTGCTTTAAAATCGTCCGCCCTGCACCCACCCCAGAGTATATGCTTCAACAGGAATCACACAAGGGTAGATTAGAAACCTCTGGTAAAATGTCCGCCCGTCACCCAGCGGATAAAGTACATTACATAGTCCAGCGACGACGAATCTGCAAGTGGTTCTCTTCTCCCCTCCCGTTCTTCAATTATGTTGGGTTACTTTTTTTTTTTAATTTGGTCTTGCAAGAGTAATTGATATAATTAGGTTTTATTTTGTTTGTATTTTACTAAGATTATTTTAGTATTTTTACATTTAATCTTATATATGAAAGAAAGAAACGCTAAGGCAACCCTAAGAAACCCTAATGTCATATTTGTAAATTTTTTTCAATTTTTATCAAATTTTTATCCCCTTAATATTAATTTAAATATTATTTTCGAATTTTATCATGTTTGTAGCCCCTAAATATTATTTTAAATATTATTTTTTATTTTTTATCAGATTTTTGTCTACTAAATATTATTTTTTATTTTTATCAAATTTTTATCTCCTAAATATTATTATAAATAATATTTTTTTAATTTTATCAAATTTATATCGTCAACTATAATTTTAAATATAATTTTCAACTTTTAGCAGATTTTTATCTCCTAAATATTATTTTCAAATTTTATCAAATTTATATCTCCTAAATAATATTTTAAATATTTTTTTCCGAGTTTAATCATGTCTCTATTATTTTTTTATCTCCTAAATATCAATTTACGTTCTTTAATCACATAATTGTCTCCTAAATATTATTGTCGATATTTATCAAAATTTTATCTCCTAAATATTATTTCAAATAATAATTTCTATTTTAATCATATTTTATCTCCTAAATATTATTCTAATTATTATTTTCGTATTTTATCAACTTTTATCTCATTAACATTATTTGAAATATTATTTTCGATTTTTATCAACTTT